AAAACATTGTTTGATCTTCCTGATATATATTTTATGCAATTCAGATATAAGTGTCTAGGGATTGTAAGCAAGGTCCCTCTGTGACAGGCTTTGTTTACTGTATTATTGTAATGAAAAATATTCTCATTATACAAGGAAAAAACTTTCATTGTAATTTTGATAGTTATGTGAAAGTAAAAATAAATATTAAAGTTTACCCAAACCAAAAACCCAAAAATTTAAATAATGAGTTTCTGCCAGGATCAACAGGTATTTTCTATACTTGCTGAAAATGTACATACTGTAGCTCTAAAAAGAAAACTAATGTGGCCACCAAGAGTTTTGACAATTTCAAGAGTGTTGAATGTCTGTGTCCCTTCTGCACACTGTTGTTCCTTCCACCAACGTCTGCATCACTACAGGTCACTGTAGTGATGTTGGGACTGTCATGGAAATTTTGTATTGTTGGTCGAACTTTAAATGTGTCATATATGAGTGTTATTCATATGTCTCTCGTGTGGCTTAATTAAAGCTCTGAAGGCTGCAATTGGGCCATGCGCATGTACAATGTATGTATTACAGTACTCAGCTCGGTAATGGATGAGATGGTGGATCTGCGCTTATAGACCGGCGTGTATACCACCACGGCATTCGATGCGAATGCCGCTGGCAGTAGACCGCGGGCCTGTATTCACATATCAGCAGCATAGTACCACATGGACTTCATAACGCAAGGAGCCAAGCGGTACGAACTCCGCGTGTAGGCTTATGTATATCTTACAACCCATTACCGACCTGAACTGTATCCGGATGGATGTGTTTTAATAAAGATCGTATCGGGCCCATCCAGGTACAGACTGATGTTACTAGGGAGTGCTTGTACAGAGAATGAACATACTGCTAGGAGCTGGAACAAGAAATATGCTCTCCATAGAGGGTCATGGGGGGAAGGGGAGGAAGTCTGCTGACCTCAGAAGGCTCATGGGGAAGGACCAGTGATAGATAATAGGAAAGGCTATGCTCCGATCGGAATGTATATCCTGTGTATAGGCACTCCCCATTGCATTGTTCGGTGGGAGGGGATTGACTTTATTGATGTGGGGGGGCGTGTGTCTGCTTGTAATAAAACCGGGGGCTGAGTCTGAAGCCGGGCTTATGTGAATTCAAACATCGACCTGAAAGTGTTGTGTGATCATTTCCAGGTATAGGGAGCTCCAATCACCCACATTTCAACAGAGCTAACCCATTTGGATGGGCAGGAATCGTGTAGTTTAGCTGCAGTCGTGGTAAGCGAGATTCGCACAGCTTTATGGGGGATTTCTGCGCATCCAACTGCGAGTACTCACGGTAAGGAGAAATTCGTCAAAGCAAATTTCCAAGACAGGACTGGTTGGAGCAACCGATGAGCACAGTGGGAGATGTGCAGGGCTTTTTTCAGCTGGAATGTGGTGGAGGGAGTTGTTTGAGGGGATGTATTAAGTTCACAACTTAAATTTGGGGAAACAGGTCTGTACAGCTGTATGCTGTGTTTGGGAGGGTCCCTGACAAACTAGTAGGCCCTTCTCCCCGTGTGTCAGTTCAAGTGGAAAGCATCTATACAAAGGTCTATGATAAACATCTAAAGCACCTAACCCAGAGGAAGCTAGAATATCTGAATATCTGGAAATTTGGGGTTAGAAGCTGGAAAGTTTCCCTTATGACAGTATTTGCTTATTAAAGTGGTTGTAAAGGCTCAAGGCTTTTTTACCTTCATGTCTTCACCTCTGAATGGTCTGGGGTCATCAGTGGTGTACCCCAGGGTTCAGTGGTGGGACCCTACTTTTTAATATATTTATAAACGATATAGGGTCTGGGATTATAAATCCCATTTCAGATTTTGCAGATGACACCAAACTGTGCCGTGGAATAACGTCCTTACAGGATGTCTCCAATTTACAAGCCGACCTCAATGCTCTGTGTAATTGGGGGACTATGGGGCAAATGAGGTTTAATGTTGATAAAAGTAAGATTCTGCACTTGGAGGCTAAGAATATGCATGCATCATACATAATAGGGGGGGGTACAACTGGGGGAATCAATGGTGGAGAAGAATCTGGGGGGGTCAATGGTGGAGAAGGATCTGGGGGGGGGTCAGTGGTGGAGAAGGATCTGGGAGTTCTGGTAGATCACAAGCTTAATAACGGCAGCAATGCCAAGCTGTGGGTTCTAAAGCGAGCAAAATCCTCTCTTGTATTAGGAGAGGTATAAACTCCAGAGAGAGAGATATCATCCCCCCCCCGGTACAAATCATTAGTAAGACCTCATCTGGAAGATGCAGTTCAGTTTTGAGCACCAATCCACAAAAAGAACATTGGGGAACTGGAGAAAGTACAGAGAAGGGCAAGCAAACTGATAAGAGGCATGGAGGAGCTCAGCTATGAGGAAAGATTAGAGGAACTGAATGTATTCTCTCTTGAGAAGAGGAGATTAAGGAACTGAATGATCTCCATGTATAAAGGACATTAAGGGGGATATGATCACCATGTATAATACATAATGGGGGGGATATGATCACCATGTATAATACATAAGGGGGGATATGATCACCATGTATAATACATAAGGGGGGGATATGATCTCCATGTATAATACATAAGGGGGGGATATGATCTCATGTATCCATGTATAATACATAAGGGGGGATATGATCTCCATGTATAATACATAAGGGGGGATATGATCTCCATGTATAATACATAAGGCGGGATATGATCTCCATGTATAATACATAGGGGGATATGATATGATCAACATGGTATAATAACATAAGGGGGGTATAACACCATGTATAATACATAAGGGGGGATATGATCACCATGTATAATACATAAGGGGGATATGATCTCCATGTATAATACATAAGGGGGGATATGATACATGTATAATACATAAGGGGGGGGGATATGATCTCACATGTATAATACATAAGGGGGGGATATGATCTCCATGTATAATACATAAGGGGGGATATGATCTCCATGTATAATACATAAGGGGGGATATGATCTCCTATAAGGGGGGATATATAATACATAAGGGGGATATGATCTCCATGTATAATACATAAGGGGGATATGATCACCATATGATCATAAGGAGGGGATATGAAGAGAATCCATGTATAAGGGGGATATGATCTCTCATAAGGGGGGATATGATCTTCCATGTATAATACATAAGGGGGGATTTGATCTCCATGTATAATACATAAGGGGGATATGATCTCCATGTATAATACATAAGGGGGATATGATCTCCATGTATAATACAGGGGGGATATGAATCTCCATGTATAATACAAAAGGCGGGGGGGATATGATCTCCATGTATAATACATAAGGGGGGATATGATCTCCATGTATAATACATAAGGGGGGATATGATCTCCATGTATAATACATACATAAAGGGGGATATGATCTCCATGTATAATACATAAGGGGGGGGGATATGATCTCCATGTATAATACATAAGGGGGGATATGATCTCCATTGTATAATACATAAGGGGGGATATGATCTCCATGTATAATACATAAGGGGGGATATGATCTCCATGTATAATACATAAGGGGGATATGATCACCATTATATACATATAAGGGGGGATATGATCTCCATGTATAATACATAAGGGGGGATATGATCTCCATGTATAGCACATAAGGTGGTGGTATCTCCATGTAAATACATAAGGGGGGATATGATCTCCATGTATAATACATAAGGGGGGGATATGATCTCCATGTATACATAAGGGGGGATATTGATCTCCATGTATAATACATAAGGGGGGGATATGATCTCCATGTATAATACATAAGGGGGGATATGATCTCCATGTATAAAACATAAGGGGGGGATATGATCTCCATGTATAATACATAAGGGGGGATATGATCTCCATGTATAATACATAAGGGGGGGATATGATCTCCATGTATAATACATAAGGGGGATATGATCTCCATGTATAATGTATAATACATAAGGGGGGATATGATCTCCATGTATAATACATAAGGGGGGATATGATCTCCATATATACATAAATACATCTCAGTATAATACATAAGGGGGGTGATCTCCATATATAAATACATCAGTGGTTCATATAGTGAACTTGGTGTAGAGTTTTTCACCCTGAGGTCACAGAGGACAAGGGGGCGCTCTATGTCTGGAAAGAGCCCACGGAAACAGAGAGCCAAAAGGTTAATACACCTTCCCAAGAGACTGGCTTATGACTCCTTGTACCATAGTATAGAAGAGACTGTGTGCACAGCCCTAGAGTCCTCAGCTATGCTAGAAATGTCTAACCCAGGTACATTGGGGAGAAACCCTGGTCACCTTTTGATACAGCTTGGTGAGAGCTTCCTTTGTTTGACAGAAAACATGTCATAAGATAAGCTCATTCTCCAATATGCTGTTTAGTTGAATGTTAGAGCATGGTCTCATTTATATTAAGGTCCTATATGTGTATCTGCCTGTTCCCCTGTTGCTTCTTTTGGGGACCAAAAGACTTTTCATGGAGTGGGTTGAGTGTGTAGTCTCAGTTTGCAGTGCTGTTCTGCTCTGCAGCATGGACCGGGCTACTACTCTGCTGCCACCCCACACCTTCTGTCCCCTTTCAGGATGCCTGAGAGCAGCAGAAGCTGTGTGAAGAGAGAGGGGAGAAAGAAAGGACACCGACTGCTGCAGGGCTGTGCACAATTCAAGGAAAGCCCCAACCACCACCTGAGAAAACAGACAGCTGTAGCTGTGCATCCTGGGAGAAGAGAGAGCCCACTGGGATGGGCAAGGACTTGTGAGAGAGGCTGAGCCTGGTGCTGTAGAGCTACTTTGGAACTATAAGTCCCAGAAAGACCATTGCTCTGAAGAATAGGAAAATGGAAGATAGTTACTTGGCTTGGGGTAGTAATTTGGAGGATTGTGTGGAGTGCACAGTGCAGCAGGCTGCCTACTAGACAATGCACTGTGGTGTGTCAGAGAGATGTAGAGGCTCGACTAGTGACATCATCAAGTCTAGGGTGGGCAACACCACCTGGTTGTGTCACAGCTGACATTATTGAGCCCAGGTAGAGAAGGAAGAAGAAAGTCATCAACTTATATGGTGGTGAGAGGCTGCTGGATACAACCTTCTGGCTACTATTTATGGGAACAGTAACACCCGTTTGGGCACCTAAACTCATTTTTGGGACTCATGTTCGAGCAATCCACTGTAGGATTAGAGCCCTAAGATACACCAATGCACTGGCTAGTATTAGGGGGTTGGATAAAGACTATGGACCTATAATTTTTTGCATTGCCTTTAGTTAGGACCCTTCCCTTAATATTGGGCTTAAGGGCAAAGATATTGGTCCGTTTGCTATTTTCAGAGTCACACATTATTTTGCAAATGTTTTGGTATACCTGTTATAGCGTCTACTATAGCTTTCCGCTTTTTTTGGTCAATGACTCACTATGTTTTGCAACAAAAAATATTCAAACTTCAGTCTTGGTGTATAAGAGAGTGTGGCGCTGTTCAAAAGGACATTGGCACTGGAAACGAGACCCAAGAAACAGCAGTTTCTTAAGGGTTTGGCAGTTTTCTACTCTCTCCTGCATAATAACAATAACTGCCATTCTGCTTTCCATCCATTGCCCCCTATTTTTCATATATTTTGTAATATAGAAAAAATGCATTTCCATATGTAGTATGTATATATATATATATATATATATATATATATATATATACACACACTGCATGTTGAAATGCATTTTTCATATATTACAAAATATATGAAAAATATATATTATTTAAATATATTCTTTCTTCAGATTTTGTTAACATATAAAAAAAGTCATTTTAACATATATTTTTACATATATTTGTAAATGCATTCCAAAAAAGTAGATTAAATGTATTTTTAAAGACATACAGTATATTTGAAAATTTAATTTTCAAAATATTTTTCATATATTTTGTAATAAAAACACATTTCAACATACAATATATATATATTTATTGAAATATATTTCGAAATATATTGACACGGCCAAAATTGTAGTATTTCAAATACATGTCAATATATTTGGGAAGAGTATTTTTAAAATATATTTCAAATATATTTTTCTTCCATGTGGGTACCCTGTACTGTTGCTCTTCCCCTACCCCGTATTGTTTTTGTACTTCTTCTCTATCATCCCTTACTAGAAATAGGTGTAAACAAGATGTATATAATAATAATGTGCATTCATTTTTAGAAAAATATGTTTGGATTATTTGTACAAATACATACAGTACATATAATTCATACAGTTGTTAAGCAGGAAGATTGACAAAATCTTACTCCAACTCTAATGTCTTATTAGAAAGACTCATGGAGGCACCCTGCTATAAATATTAGTTTGGAAAATAACAATAAAAATAAAAAATAAGATATAGAAGAAAGAAATTAAATACATCATACAATATGAGTTTGTAAACTGGTAAATGCTCAGTAAATAAATAAATGAAAATAGCCATAAACTATGATGATCAGCAGCTACTTGCCTACAAATTACAGCCAAGTCCAGCCATGTTGAGATTAAAATTATAGTCCTTAAAAAGTACCTGTCTTGGATACTACCATAGTGTCATCTCCGTGCTATATAACTACTACTGTTCATCTGGAAGTTTTGGGATATAAACAAATCCCTAGCATAGGAAAAAAACTAATAGGATTTTAAAGGTACAACACCATGTATATAAAAGAGTTTACATTTTTATTATACAAAATATTTTTATAAATTAGAGTAACAAAACAGACCATCAAATATTATGCCAGCAGTTAACAATCAAATAAATCATGGGGAAGGTCTCATATAGTCATCTCCGACACATTTCACAGGACAAGCCAACTTCCTCAGGGAGATCTGCCGTATGTTTTTCTAAAGCTACAAAGACAACACGAGTAACAGTAAAACACTGTAAATATTGTACTCTGGATCTCTCTACATGTATGCATTATCTGTTACAAGAAGACTCACATGGCTTATAATTTATTCCCAGACTTAAGGAGCCACAACCAGCATATGGATCAGGGGACTTTAACCATTCAAAGAACTGGAAATCCAATATTATAATACAAAAAGGTATATGTCCTTTAAAGCAATAATAATGAGAAAATTAATTACTGAGAATGAAAAAATAACAAAAAATAGAAAGATTCCCTGAACATGTATGAATTTGTATATAAAGATACCAAAAAGAGAGAGAGAGAAGAAGAAAAAAAAAAAAACCATTGGGGTATCAGGCTAGGGGGCAGGGGTGGACTGACCATTCAGTAGGGGTCAGTAGGGGACCCCATGAAATGCCCCTGGTACCTTTTATAGGCTTTTTTGGGTGTGCTTTGAGTGTGGGCAAGGACACAGGGGCCCCATGATCACCTATTGCCTGGGGGCCCCATGAGTTGTCAGTCCGCCCCTGCTAGAGGGTACTAACAATAGTCACTTGGGGGACATCTGTATAGTTAAATACTATTTGTTCAGCCTGGGAACTTCGAGGGTACACCTCTACTTCTCCTGAAAATGTTTTAAATATTTTGTATAATAAAAATGTAAACTTTTTTTATATACATGGTGTGGCACCTTTAAAATCCCATTAAGTTTTTTTTTCTATGCTAGGGACTGTTTATGTTTCAGTGTCTTTTTATTAGAGGATGTGGTACCAGTAAAATCATTGAACAAGTTGAGACTACATTGTTGTGTCTCCCTTCCTGCTTCTTAATAGATCGTATGGAAGTTTTGGAAGTCTGCCAACCATTGTGTGCCCCAACCCTCCTTCTATGTTACCCATAATATAAAATAAACAATTCAAGAAGGGTTGGTCAATATTCCTTATATTGGGCACAGCGAGTGTGCAGTGTAGATAGTACATCAATTTATCAAAATGGACAATTTCTAAGAATTTTTTGAAGTGCTATTCTAATATCTTGATTCCGCAGACTATATATAATGGGGTTAAATAAAGGCGTAAACACAGTATGAAGTAAAGATACAATCTTATTGATATATAAAGAGTATCCTTTAGAGGGTATCATGTATTTAGCTATCAGCGTTCCGTAAAATGTCCCCACCACAAGAAGGTGAGAACTGCAGGTTGAAAAAGCTTTTTGTTTGCCTGTAGTGGATGGTATGATGAAAATGGTTTGGGAGATATAGATGTAGGTCACCATGATAAAACCACATGGAAAAATAAATATCGGTATGGAAAAAACTAAATCTTCCAGTTCAATCAAAGAAGTGTCTGAGCAAGAGAGTTTCTGGAGAGGGGAAAAGTCACAGTAGAAATGGTCAATGACATTATCAGCACAAAAGTCAAAATCTGATATAGGCAAAACGATTAAAAGACTTGAAGTAAAACACAATAGCCATGGCCAAGACGAAAGAAGGATACAAATCATCATGTTCATGATAGTGGAATATCTCAAAGGGTTACAGATGGCCAAGTACCGATCATAGGACATGATCGAGAGGAGGAAACATTCTGTAGCAGTTGTAGCACTGAAAAAATAAAATTGTGTGATGCAACCACAGAAAGGTATTATTTCCTTTCTAAGAAGAAGACTGCAAAGCATGTGTGGCAGAATGCTGGTCGAAATCAAGAGATCTGAAAATGAGAGATGACTTAAGAAATAATACATGGGTGTATGGAGAGTTGGGGTGATGGATACTAATACAATGATCAGAAAGATTTCCTGTGATAGTGAATGCAAAGATGATTAAGAAGACTACAAAGAATACAACATTGAATCCATGAAGGTTTCCAAATCCTAAAAGAACAAATTCTGATACTTTTGTATAGTTCTTTCCAGACATAATGTTGATTGAATCCATAAATTTGCCGCACAAAAAGTTTTTTTTACTGGTTTGTGATGGTTTATAGTCATCCAGATCATGTAACTAGAAGTCCAACATCTTGAAAATATTTCATGTCTCGTTCAAGTGGCTTCTTTAGTTAATAACTGAAAGACATCACTTGGGTGAGAAATTATATGTTTTGGGAATAATAGTCTGAGAGATGATTTAGGAAATAATACATGGGTGTCTGAAAAGCTTGGGTGATGGATACTAATACAATGATCAGAAGATTTCCTGTGACAGTGAATGCAAAGATGATTAAGAAGACTATAAAGAAATCAATATTTAATTCATGAAAGTTTCCAAATCCTAGAAGAACAATTCTGAAACCTTTGTATAGTTCTTTCCAGACATAATGTTTCACTTCCATAAATATGCATCATGAAAAAAAGAGCATTGTTACCGGTTTATGGCTTTAGTCATCCAGATCATGTAACCAGAGGTAGTAAATAAAGTCCAACATCTGAAAATCTTTCACTCTAGTCCAAATTGCTGTTTTGGTTGATAAACTGAAAGACACCACGTGAGGGAACAATTAATTGGTTTAGGTATAGTAAGCAAGTTCAGCTTTTGCTAACACTAGGTAACATTTTTGCTTATTTTCTTGGAATACAATATATGAGATATAGATCCGCAGTGTATGTCAGCTTGTTGGCAATATTTACCTCCCCTCCTGCAAACTGTTCATCAATGTTCCTCAGAACAATGCCCCCAGCTAAGCTACATATAATAAGTATACAATTATACTTTGGCAGAGTTTCAGGGGTCACAAGTGTCACGACCATACTCCAGGGGGTCTATGCAGTCTCCCTATCACATTACATTTTGCGGGGGGGCAACTTTGAGATCCAGTCCCCAGCAGTGGCGTCCTGAGGCAGGTGCGGGGGGTGCGCTCCACACCGGGTGACACCGACCGCACGGGATAACACTGGACCTGCTCCATGAAAAGGTAAGTTGTAAAGCAAGCCAACGATTCCCGCAGGATGGATGGGATCTGCAGATTGGGGAGAATAATGGATCAGACTTTGATCCATTATGCTCAATCCGTAGATCCGATCCATGCAACCTATATGGGGTGACACCGGACCCGCTCCACGAAAAGGTAAGCTGTAAAGAAAGCGGACAATGCCTGCAGGATGGATCGGATCTGTGGATTGAGCATAATGGATCGGAGTCCGATCCATTATGCT